GTTGTTGCATGTTGTTGCATGTTGTTGCCATGACGTCGTCGTGACGTCACGTCGTTGCCCATGTTGCCATGCGTTGCCCATGTTGCCATGCGTTGCCGTGCTTGGCTATGCTTGGCTATGCGTCGCTGATGTCGCCGATGTCGCCGATGTTAGCTGTGTTGTCCATGGCTGTGGCTGATGACCAGGAATTCGGTGGCGGCCTGGGTATCCGGTGTTGCCGATGTTTCCGGTTGTTTCCGGTTGTTTCCCGGTGTTTCCGGTTGTTTCCCGGTGTTTCTTGTTGTTTGCCGGTGTTTCCTGTTGTTTCCTTGTGTTGCCGGTGTTTCTTGTTGTTTGTTGCTGTTTCTTGTTGTTGCCATGGTTGCCGTTGTTGCCGATGTTGCCAGGTGTTTCTGGATGTTTCAGGGGGTTGATGCTGTTTCGGTTTCGGCTGGCCGGTTATGGCCCTAATGTCTCCAATGCTGCCGAACCTACCGATGTGGTCGATGTGACTTATAGTTATGGTTTTTGCAAGTCACTGCTTTGCGTGGCACTGCCTTCGTGGGTGTCACACCGCCATCGTGGGTGTTACCGACATCCCGCTTTCTCCCGCTAATTGGTTTTTGCCCTCACACACTTCCGCTTCTGTTCACCCCGATTAACAACCGTTTTTGATCGATATCATGAGTGTTGCCAATGATGCCTTTTATACCGATCTCGTCCGTGATGAGTCGGCCTCTCCATCCAGTGGTGCCATCCAACCATTTCCTCTTGATCTTCTCAATGACCCAATGTTTGCGGTCCTCTTCAATCAGTCTTCTCCTGTCAAGACAGTCGTTCAAGACAGTCTAGTGTCGTCTGCTGGTATCTTCTTGTCTGTTCTCGCCGTCATCGTTGTCTTCATGGGTCGCTGACATTCTTCGCGTTTCTATCCATGAAAGATGCTCCCCCTCCACTTCGGATGTCTCCATATGGCCATGCTCTGCCCTCCGCTGGTAGGAATATCCTCTGTCTCGCTTTCTGCTTGTTGTTACTTATACTTCCGTTTCCTCCGTTGTTTCTTTCTTCCCCCAGTCGTCGCGATTCCACCGTGTCTGCCCTCCTACAATCATCACGCTGACTCGCCCATCGTTACTGCTTCCTCCTTGCCTCCTCTGGGTATGTGATAGAGGCTGATCTGCTTGGGTCATCTCGCTGATCTGCTTTGTCATAGCACCCTCCTCCCTGTCCATTCACCATCACCCATCCCCTGCTTCAGACATCGTTTCTTACAATGGTATGCTGAATGCCCTTGTTATGTTGCCGTTGTTGCCGTTGTTTGCCGTTGTTGCCGTTGTTGCCGTTGTTGCCGTTGTTGACATTGTTGACATTGTTGCCGTTGTAGTGTCGCCCTCCCCTCGTGACCAGGACGTCGTGCTCTTCACTGAAGGTTCGCATTACGTTCTCGTTCTCCTGCTTAATTCATAGCCGTTTCATCGAGGTCTTTCTAGGTCACACCACCAAGTCGGCCTGCACTTGTGTGCCTTGCAAAGTTCATCCCAAACGATCACGTGGTCGCCCTCGGGGGTCTTCTACTCCTGGTTACAAGGAGTGGAAGGCTCTAGGCGCTGCCCTGGGTTGGGATCAGGAATCAGATGCGTAAGTTGGTGTGTCGTTCGTATTCTTGTGATTTCTCTCATCATTGTTGCCGGTGTTTCCGGTGTTGCCATTGTTGCAGGAGTGACATGCGTGTCCAACTTGATCATCTACGCAAGGAGCTCATCAAGGCTCGTGAGGAAGTCGACATGTGGCAAGGTCATGCCAATCGGGAAAAAGAAATGACCCACAAGGCTCAAA